AAGACCTGAGCTTTGCCTGTCCTATGATAACAGACCAACCAAGCAAATAAAGTCTACTTTTCTACTCTGTTGATCTTCATTTTTGTTTGACATGTCATTCATAGCTAAACTCCAGACTACATTTCAAAGATATGGGCCTTGATTTGATACATGTTTAGTCTGCCTATTTCGAAACAACATCACAGCAAAGCAGAAGTTCAAATAGGAAGACAATCTTTAATTATTTCTCACTGAGAGTTCCACAATTACATTGAATGAAGCTTGTCATTTGCAAAAGCTCCCCACCCCAACCCAAGAAAAAGTATAAAGATGTGGCCATTTTTAAAATTTGCTTGTCTTTCTTTGTAATTTACATTCGGTCTACTTTCCAAAAAATAAATAAACAATAAGCAGTTCAGAAGTGGCAAGTTGCTTAAAAAAAAAATGCTATCAGGCCGTAGACATAAATATAGTCTTCTAGGATTTTAGATCTCACCTAGGAAAACAAACATGCTTTGTCAGAAAAGACCCAGGGCTTCCACACCTGCTCGAAAAGAGAGTTAAGCTTCAGCAGCTGGCCCAGGGCTCTGTTCCTCTTTGAGGAGAAGGGTTTCTGTACGGCGAGACAATGGAGAGCTCTCACTGTGGTGGACGTTCGGCCAAGGGACCAAGCTGGAAATCAAACGTGAGTAAAATCCAAGCTTTCCTTTCTTGGTTGTCTGTGTCTTATGGTCTCTGTGTTTATGAAGTGATCTATAAGCTGAGTCTTTGCAAACAGCCTCTGACATCCTCCAGGGCAAAGAGAAAGTTGAAGTCTATAGGCAAACTTGAGAATTGATTGTGCATTTTCTGTGAAGAGCAAGCAAGATTCAGTCATTGGGTGAGAATAACTTGTCCAAGCGATAGCTTTGGAAACTGGGGGGTATACTAACATGTTCTGGATGGAGCCTTGCTCAATTGTTAGAGGGACATGGTTTTTGTATAGGAGGGAGGCTAAGGGGAACCATTGTGTGTACACTTTCGGTGCCGGGACCAAGTTGGAGATCAAACGTAAGTACTTTTTCCAACTGACGCTTCACTGTTTCTAATCGGTCTGATTGGTTTGCTTTTTGTTCCTTTTTGTGTGTTTTTGTTAGTTGGATGTCAGGGATATAGCAAATTTCATTCCCAGATTAGGTACACAGGAGAGGAAATTGTTCCACAGGAGGCTAGCCAATGGCTAATTTTTAAGTTATTAAAAGTTTTTAAGTTAATTTCAGTTATTTCTAAATCAAAATAACTGAACTAGGGAAGGGGACTTACTGCCCTTTCGAGAAGGTTTTTAGTAGAGGGGCAAGTGAAGGCGAATCACTGTGATTCACTTTTGGCCGAGGGACCAAGCTGGAAATCAAACGTAAGTACATCTATGCTCAGTTATTTGTAAGGTATGGGTCCCATTGTATCATTTGTGCGAGTTTGTGATACTTTTGTTAAATGAACTATTCCCGGCGACCCAAAAGTAAAGGATAGAACACCTACCTAAGGAGGTAGCCAACTTAAAAGTTGAGCAGACAGAAAAACTGCTGGGTTTGTGAGGAGAATAGGATTTGTGGGGAGAATGGGAAAGCTATAGCTGATTTTTCTCTGAATTGGCCGATGGAAGGGAGGTTTTTGTTGAGGGGAGAGTGGCAGAGTCCTCACTGTGGCTCACTTTCGGCCAGGGCACCAAGCTGGAGATCAAACGTAAGTGCACTTTTTCAATCCTTTTTCTTGCTGAAGTTGTAAATTTGGGGAGGGGAGGGGTTCATGTTGGGAATGAGTTGAGATCAATTCCGAAGAGAACAGGATTCTTCCAGAAAATCAGATGAGTAGGGGACCGAAAATCAGTTCACGTGAAGGAAGAACAGCTAGTCGAGCGACACGGCTTCTAAATTGCCGGATTTTCTCTGTATCGGTCAGTCTAGTGACGTTAGCAGCAAAAAGAGGTTTTTATTAAGGGAAAAGTCATTAAGCTAATACTGTGGATCACCTTCGGCAAAGGGACACAATTGGAGATTAAACGTAAGTAATTTTTCTCTATTGCCTTCTGAAATTTGGGTCTAATTGCCAGTATTAAATTTTAGGGGCTTAAATCTGAGTTTTATGGAGATGGGTGAATGAGAGCATTTTAAATTTATCGTCAGTTGCAAAAGTTAAACTCAGTTCCAAAAATGGATTTGGAGACCAAAAGATTAAATTAATCTAAATGAAATGACTCAAAGGGAAAGAAAAATAGCGTAGATGAAAAGGGAACCCTCGGAGTTCTAAAGGGCAAAACTAAATTTATTTTCATTCAGTTTTGCCAAATATTGTATTGGTTGTTGCTTGTTATATATGATATAGAAAAGTAGAAAAATGTATTTCTTAGTCTATTTTCTCTCTTTTGTCCGATAAATTATTTTATAAGATAACTATAAAAATCAATGGCAGGCACTAAGAAATAAGTGAGAAATTTTTAAAAGTATACCTGTTTGCCATGTAGAAGAGGCAGCTTACTAGAAAATCGCCAGCAATGTCATTTATAGAGCCTAAAATGAGTGATAAACTGTCAAAATGATAGATTCTATAAGAATAATGCCTTGACAGATAATTCCCTTTTTAAAATCCAATCTGTACATTAGACTAAACATGAAACAATCTCTTATTATAATGGTGGAAAGACAGTTGCTCCCTAATGCTCAGTTTCAAAGAAATTTGTTTAAATGAAGAAAAGTAAATAATTGCATTTTTTAAATGCCCACGGTGGTAGAAAAATAGCGAATATTTTAAAAAGTATATTCTTTGATTACTCTCAGTTATCAGTTATCCATATTTTTATCCCGCCAAGAAGGCCGTGGCAGAGCTAGCGGTCTGTAGACGTGGCAGTGGTCTTCTTTCACGTTTGAGTGACTTCTGTGGCCATCCCGCCACACTCGGGGGCCAGTGCCCCTTGCCACTAAAGGCCACGGCAATCCCGCACTAGCCTGTTTAACTCTGCTGTGGCCCGATTTCCTGACACACAGTGATACAAATAATACCGCTTAACGGAGAGAGCATAGAAATGTGATGGGCGCTGAGCTAATATGGAAAAAACAGGCAGAAGCTGATTCATTAGAGATTTCAGAAGTAAAATTCACATTTATTATATCCCATTAATGAAAATTTCTCTTAGGGGATTGTAAAGAACTCAAAGCTATTTTTTTCAGTGCTGTTTAATTATTTTAATAACCACTCATCAAATTTATTTAAATTATAAGAGCTGAATCTAAAAGAAAGAAATATATATAACTCTTTCAGGGCAAAATCCACACCAGCAAAAATCAAATTTAATGACAGCAATCTGGCCACTCAGGTCTGTATCAGTTCACTCTGAGGTCACATGAAATGCCATTAAGGTATATTAACTTATAAAAATTAAGATAAACTTGTGACATGTTTTTAATTTAAAAAAATTTAAGTGCCTGGGTAGGATTATCTTTCAGTTGTACCAAATATCTAATCATATATAAGTGTAATTAATAAAAATTTAATGTAAACTTATTTTCCAATACCTTAATTCTGTGATAGAAAAATTTTCATCTGGACATTTTAATTTTAGAACCTCTAAAATAGCTTAAAAATCTGTTATTGCTGTTGTTTAACCAAGCTGATTTCAAAAGTGATACTGCAGAAGGATTATTTTGGTCTGCAACAACTAGAAAAGACTATTTTAGGGCTCTTTTAAGCTCTTTTAAAACTAATTTAGAACTATTAGAAACTACTTAGCTGTTTTAAACTATTTTAAAATGAGTTTAGAGCCTTTAAAAAAAACTCTTTTAAAGATTTTTATCTTAGCATATCCAGGGTAAAAAAAAAAAAAAGAATTTTAAACTCTATTGAAAGCTAATAAGATATCTTGACATAATTTCCATATCAAATATATTAATTGCTTAATATTTTAATTTTAAAATTTAAAGCTATCAAGAATTCACCCAGACAAGAGTATCTTTATAGAATGTTTTCTCCTGCTTATTTTCCAAAGATTATGTTATTTTGCCGTCAAGCCTATTTTATGCAATTATTTGGAAAAAATTAGTAAATGAAAGTTAAAAGAGAAAAAAATATCAAACAAAACTTCAGTCTTTTCTGTTGAGCTAACTGCTTGATTAACATTGAGATTTATGAAAACCTGTTCACATTATATGTTGACTTCTCCCACCAAAAGATTCTTGATTTTTTTTTTTTAACTCTTGCTCTCCCACCTGAGGGCTTGAATCCCCACAGGGGGGATTTCTAAGAAGCCATCTGGCAGCTGCTCAAGGTCAGAAGCGAAGTTAGCCAGTTCCTCCTAGGCAGGTGGCTGAGATTACAGTTGACCCCTCCTGGTCTGGCCAAAAATCAGCCCATGTGGTTACAGACCGTCAGGCCAGGGCCCGGGTCTCACTTGGAGGCCTTTGCGAGGGGTGGGCGAGTTACAGGCGTGATCACAGAGCGAGGAGGAGCTGACACCCACCCAGGCACAGACTCAGGGCCTGGGGCCCACCCTGCAGGGGGATTTGGCACGGCCAAGCCAAAGGAAGCCCTGGGCAGCCTGCCGTCCCAGCACAGTCCTGGGAGAGGCACGGGGGAAATGAAAACCCGACAGAGGCTCTCCCTGACGCCACCGCTGCCTGGTCTTCTCCATAATGAGAGGCCACGGCTGTTCTGACTTCTAAAGGAGGTCAGATGAAGTGGCCTGTGTGTCTTTGCCCAAAGCTCAGAGTTTGCTGCAGGAGGCAGGGAACGCAGTTGAAGGAAGGAAAGGCAAGGTCAGGAAAGCATGCAGAGGCCTCAGAATGGCTTCCAAGAGTTCAAACAAAACCGCTTAGAACCTTCTTAAGGGATAGAGGGTAGCTAGAGAGAAACTGAAAATCATCATGTTTGTAAATATGCTTCCTGGCCTCATTGCTGCAATTATACAGGACAAACATGCTGCTTTCTGTCTGTCTGTCCTAACACGCGATCATCCACAAACAATGCACCCAGGTGGAGAACTTCTCTGTTACTTGAACACCATCCTCTGTGCTTCCTTCTCCAGGAGCTCAGGCTCAGCCATCTGCCTACATCTTCCCGCCAAATGAGGAGCAGTTGCGGTCTGGAACCGCCACTGTCGTGTGCATGATAAACGGCTTCTACCCCGAAGAGATCGATGTCAAGTGGAAGGTGGATGGTGCTGTCCGAACAAATGATGTCCAGAACACTCTCACGGAGCAGAACAGCGAGGACAACACCTATAGCCTCAGCAGCACCCTGACGTTGCCCTCTACAGAGTACAGCCGGCACAATCTCTATACCTGTGAGGTCACTCATCAGAGCCTGGGCTCGCCCCTCAGCAAGAGCTTCAATAAGCAAGAGTGTTAGAGGGAGATGCCCCCCAGGCCCAGACTGGGCTCCTCCCTTCCTTAGGCCTTGGGCCTTTTTCCCCCTGCAAGGGACCTACCCCTAGTGCACTCCTCCAGCCCCTCTCCCTGCCTCATACCCCCTCCTCCTCCTCCTTGGCTTCAATCATGCTAATACTTGGGGGGGGGGATGAATAAATAAAGTGAATCTCTGCACCTGTGATTTCTCTCTCCTTCTTCATTTCATGGTTGTTATACATAGTTTTTCCAATTACCCAGTTTCTCTTCTAAGGAACTAAATATTTGGTTGCCCTAAAATCAGCTACCATTTATAAAAGTCATCCTCCATCCTACCCTACACCCTACTGGCCTCTGCAAGGTACTCCTCCCTGAAACCCACAAAGCCACATGTCTTCACACCTCACTCCCCTGGGCGCTGGCTTCCTTGTTTTCCCCTCCTTAGCAAGCTCTACCAGTCCTTTTTACACTCTTACAGTCACATATTGTTTGATGCAATTCAATATACCCTGAGAATCTACCAAAGCAAATTTTTCAAAAGAAGAAAATAGCTATAAAGAGAGTCATTCATTGCAATGTGATATAAAATAACAAAACAATAGAAACAAACTAAATGAGCAAGCAATAAGGAAACATTTAAGTCTACCATGGTACTGGGACTTAATGGAATAGTATTGAGGGACTCCTCTCTGCTGAGGACCATGTTGAGCCCTTCCCACAACCTAATTCTCACTACACTGTGAGGTTAAAAAAAATGCCAGGCAGGTTGTATAAAGCTGAGAGGTGTTCATATTCTGTAACTCAGCAATCCCACTTCTAAATGACTGCATCCCTGTCTACCAAAAAAAAGTATGCCAAGAATGTTCAAAGCAGCTTTATTTATGAAAGCCAAAAGTTGGAAATAACCTGTGTCCACCAACAGTAGAATGGGTCGTTAAACTTTGGTGGGTTTTATACTATTCAATAAGGAGAATTAACAAAACTACAACTATACCAAATAACATGATTGAATCTCATAAAGAAAATGTTAAGCAAAAGAAACCAAGTGCAAAATATACATTATGTACATTTTAAGCCATAAGAAGTTCAAATCAGGTAAAAATAAAAGTAGAAATTGGGATGGGGATTACTCTTGGCTGGGAATGGAGTGAGGTGATGGCTGGGAGGGGGCAAGAAGAGGCATCTGGGGTTTGAGTAATGTTCTGTTCCTTGATGTGGGGTGCGCTGCTTTGTGAAAATGTATCGAGTTGTACAATTATGACCTGTGCACTTTTCTTATATACGTTATACTTCAAAATAAGTTCACATCAAGAAATGCCTTAAACCCAGTTTACAGATGAATATGTAATAGGCCAAGGCCACACGTTGGGGGCCCGGGATCAAATCTCTACCTGCCCAACTCTGCTCTCCGGAGCTCTGTGTGGAGCTCTGTGCTATTCTGCCTCTCGGCACTCAAGGTGCTGAACTGAAGAGGGATCAGGCATGCTATTTTCCTGGGGCCTCCTCCTCCATTTAGCTAACTAGAAGCACAAATATACAGAAATGGAATAGAACATACTTTCAGCAAGGGGACAAAGGACAGAATATTGGGAACCCACATGTGAAAGCTTATGTATTGGGGGGCACATGTAATGCCAACTTGACTCTCCCCCCTTCTGTGGGGCACTCTGGCCCTGCCCCTCTCAGCTACTCACCCATGCAACACACCATACTAAGCACCTCTCTCAGCCTACACTCTGAAGGGGGTGCAGAAATAACTAACACAGCATCCCTTCCCTCAGTTAACTTATAACCCAGGTTTCCTGCTCTCTTTTCCTTTCCTTTGTCAGTACCAGGCAGTGGGGAAGGGCAGTCGCAGGAAAATTGCATAAGGAGACACCTTGCCATTCTGCCTCTTGCGAATGTTCTTTAATTATCAAATTTTTGAAACTTTGGAGATCTGAGTAGAGCTAAGAAAGACTCAGTAATGTCCCTTCAAATGACATGAACTTGCTCGCCCATCCCTGGGGACCAAATTTGACAATCAAAGGCATATATAATCCAGCTATGAATTCAAAGTCTCTTCCCAGAAGGCAAAAGTCTGCAGCCAGACCCACCATGACTCAACCAAGTGAAGATAAGTGTTGTGGGTTGAAAGTGTGACCTTCAGAAAGATATATTCAACTCCATAAACATGGAAACAGGGTCTTTGCAGATGGAATCAAGTCAAAATGAGGCCCTACTGAAATGTTGGTGAGGATGCAGTGAAAACGGATCATTCGTACATTGCTGGTGGGGATGTAAAATGGTACCACTACCCCAGAAAATAGTTTGTCAGTTTCTTTAAAAAAAAAAAAAAACTAAACAAAATAGATCTAACACATGACCTAGCAATTGTACTCCTGGGCATTTACCCCCAAGAAATGAGAATTTATGTCCATGCAAACACTTATACATGGTTGTTCATAGCAGCCTTATTTGTAATAGTTGAAAACTGGGAAGATCCAATTTGACCCTCAACAGGTGATTGGTCAAACCATTTGTGATACATGCACACCATGGAATACTATGGAGCAATTCAAAGGAACGAAGTATTGATACGTGCAACATGAATGATTCTGAAGGGCATTGTACTGAGTGGGAAAAGCCAATCTCAAATGATCACATAGCATATGGTCCCTATCATACAACATTGTTGAAATGACAAAATGATAGAGATGGAGGACAGATTACTGGTTGCCAAGGGTTCAGGATGGTGGGACAAGGAGAGTAGATGGGACCATTAAGGGAGTATCATAGGGAGATGTTTGTGGTAATGGAATAGTTCTGTATTTTGATGACAGTGGTGGCTCCACACATCTAGACATGTCATAAAATGACACAGAACTATACATGGACATAGTACCAAGGTCAAATTCTTGGTTTTAATATTGTGTTCTAAATTATGTAAGAGGAAATCATTAGGAGAAACTAGGTGCAGGGCACACCAGATCTCTCTATTCAATGTCCTATCTTTGCAACTTCCTATGAGTCTATAATTCTTTCAAAATAAAATGTTTTTTAAAAACTTTATACCAGGCCAGGCATGGTGGCTCACACCTGGAATCCTAGCACTTTGGGAAGACCACTTGAGCTCAGCAGTTTGAGACCAGCGTGAGCAAGAGTATGAGCAAGAGCGAGACTCCGTCTCTACTAAAAATAGGAAAATTAGCTGGGTGTTGTGTTGTGCACCTGTAGTCCCAGCTACTTGGGAGGCTGAGGCAGGAGTTTGAGGCTGCAGTGAGCTATGATGACCCCACTGCACTCTACCCAAGGCAACAGAGTGAGACTCTCTCTCCAAAATAACTTTATACTGGATCAGAGTGGCACAAAATCCAGTGACCAGTGTCCTAATATGGAGGAGATTAATGCAGAGACACACAGGGAGAATGGCACGTGACACGGAGGCAGGGTCAAGAGTGCCGCTGCTGCAAGCTGAGGAATGCCAAGGACTGCTGGGGAGAGGTGTGGGGTGGTTTCCCCCTCAGAGCCTGCAGAAGAACCAACCCTGCCAGTGCTTTGAATTCAGACTTCTGGCCTCCAGAACTGTGAGAGGATACATGATACATGCCTGTTGTTTTAAGACCCCCATTTGTGGTACTTTGTCAGGGCAGCCCTAGGAAACTAATACAATGGAGGTAGCAGAGAAGAGAGCTTGAGCCCCCAGGGAACTTCCTTCTGCACTGACGAGTGAGCCCCCAGCAAAGCTTCGCCTCCCCAGACGTCATTGGCCACATGCACTCACAGAAATGGGGCTCCACAGGTCTGACAGCTCCTCCAATCCTGAAAGTTCAGGTCAGCATGAGTTAAAGACCAAACAGACAAGAGATCCAGGCTGCTTCTCATGAGAATGCACATACTTTGGACTCAAAAAATGAACTTTGGAGTCAGAAAGCCCTCACTCTGCCATGTGTGAGCTGTGTGGCCCTGAGCACATTTCTTAATCCATGTGGCCTTTGCTTTCTCACGTGTAAGATATAGATAATGACCACCTGATAGAAAAAAAAAAAACTGTAAAGATTTAAAAAGATAGCACATGCAAAGAACTCAGCACGAGGTGTGCTTCATGATAAAAGCCCAGTGTGTGCCGGCTGTGGAATGAGCACACCATGCTGTCACTGTTCTTCAGGGTCAGCTAACTCTTCGGCTCCAAAGCCCCCTGGGTCCCCAAGGTAGACTGAAGGTGGAAGTGAGGAAAGAGATGAAAAAGAGAAAGAAATGGAAAGGAGAAATTAAAGATGGAGGAAGAGAAAGAAGGGAGGAGAGAAAACAAGAATGAGAGAAAGATCTCTGTCCAGGAAAACTAGGAGGGCCCTGCTGTGACATGCCCCACCTGAGGCAGGGTGGACGGGTGTCCTTTCTCCTGGTCAGTCACATCTCAGTGTACCCCAATGCGTACCAAGCACAAGACAGCCATCACTCCCAGAGAGAAGAGGCCGGCCCACACCCAAGGTGCAGAGCTGGACATCTACTATGGGAGAGGGAAGATGCTGGACATCTGGAAAGCAGCATATGGATTCCACGTAGACTAAGACACAGTAAGAAAAATTAAAACTTCCAGGTAGTTTGCAGTGGAGCTGGAATAACAACAAATGTTCAGTGTCACAAGATTGGAGCAGTCCAAATGCTAACCTCCCTAACCCCTCCTATCGGCCACCCACACTGACCCAAAGACCCCCGGGCCCTTGATTCTTCTGTGCACCTCCTTCACCCTGTCTTTAAGACAAAGAGCAGCATAGGTGACCCTGAAGTCCTTTTCCATCAGAGTGGGATCCTCTGTGGCCTCAAAAATGGGCTGTAGCTTCCTATTTTAAACTCTTTTTTTTTTCTATAAAAGCAAAATTTTTCAGAAATAGCCATGTTTTCTAGAGTTGATGCTAACACATTTGCTCCCAGAAGTCCCTGATCAAGTTGATAAGCTGAACATGTTATTTTGGAGAAGAGAGAAAAGAGGATGCATAAAGAAATTTTTAAAAAATAGGAGATAGGAGATGGAGAGAAAGAAATTAGGAAGGGAGGGGAGATGAAGGAGGAGAAAGAGGAAGCAAAGGCTGGTGAAGGGAGGGTAAGCAATTAATCAGGAAGGGGAAAGAAGAGCCCCAGATAGGTGTCTGTTTACTTGCTTGTTTGTGTTTTCACACTCTGCCTTGTGCTAGG